AAACTAAAATGCTAGAGCAATGGTCTTCAACCTGTGGGTCGCAACCCACAGGAACTGTACTAAAGGGCCACGACATTAGGAAGGTTGAGAACTACTGTGCTAGAGTATTCTTTGGCTAGAGTCACAGGACTCCAGGGCAGCCCCAGAGCCTGGGTGGGGCTCCGGGCACTCCCCACGGAGCCTCCTCTCCAGCTTGCCTTCCAGACAGCACTGGACCACACCTTCCTCACCTTCCTCAGAATCCAGAAGGAAGTGTTGGCCAAGACAGAGTGTCCGGATCCAGTGGCGCTAAATCCCTGAGCATGCAAATTAAATAACTGTGTGAAGGCAAGCCAGGCTGAGAGCACCATTTGTAGTAAGTTAGACGCATTGTTTGTAATTAAGAAGGCTTTTGGGAAACTGACCTTTTAACTTCACGTGGGTCTGCTGGTTAGAGATAGGGTTTCTGTGGCTGCCTCAGGATTGGCTGGAACACATTGCAGGAACCAGGGAGACAGTTAAATGCTGTGATGATGACAGACTTGGAAATGCGGCTGTGAGCACAAGAGCTCTGCCTCCTCCTCTGGGTACGTACAATGACGGAGACAGCATGGGAAGGTCTGGGCCCCATCTCTGGGGAACCTTTTGGATATTTCTTTTTCTGATATATTCTGTAGCTTCCAAAGAACAGAATTCTTAAAAAAAATTTTAAGAGTTTCATGAGTCAACGAAAATTATAATCTTTTAAAATTTTTGCTCTTTCCTGTCTGTATGGCATTTCCATTTTAAGGGAATTGAGTGGCCATGCTTTCCATTGTTTTTGGCACATGTCTGTTTACATTGTTGGCAGCACACATGATGGAGGGAACCTGGGGTAGGGGGCAGCACCCGTGGGCCTCGGGCCCACATCTTGGGTTCCAGCAGGCTGTCCTGGTCCTGACCCACAATCATCTCACCTGCCACTGATGGGGCTGGGCTGGGCAGTCTCAGATTTAGTGGTCTCTGATCAACTGAGGAAACCTGAAAATTAGCCTTGATTTCAAATTACATAGCAGTTTCTCCTCTCCTTTCTGCTCAGTTTGCCTGTGGTTCCCAGTTCCACTAATGGACATCATCTCAGCAGAGTGAGCTAATGACTGAGCACACACCCATCACACCCGTGCTCCTTCTCCTGCCCCTGGTGACGGGCTGCACCTTCTACTCCCTTCAGCTAAACAGCCCTAGCAATTGATTTCCTTGAGATTAGGAAAATGCCTGCTTTTTAGGGCAAACTGCGGTGCTTAGGTGTTATTTCTCCTTCTCTTCTCCAAGGAAATACACGGTGAATTAAGTTTTGTGTTTTTCTCACGCTCACCAGCAGCAGTGACAGCCAGCATCTCACCAGCTGCATCGTGGCAGCAGTTGCAGAAGGACAGGAAGGGAATAGGCGGCGTAGGCTGTGCCGGTGCAGTTGACGTCTGTGGAGGAGAGCAGTGATCCTGGGAGGGGTGTGGGATGCTTTGGGTTTCTGGCAGTGTGACAACCCTTGAAGAGACATGCTTCCTAACAGGCCGCCTTCTGTCCCCCAGGCCTGGGCTGATGCCTTTCGAAGCAGCCCTGACCTCACTGGTGTCGTCCACATATATGAGGAGCTGAAGAGGAGAGGGGTTGAATTCCCCATGGCAGACTTGGATGCTCTGTCTCCCATACATACACCGCAGCGGGTAAGCTTCCAGCTGGCACTTTCAAGAAGGACCTTCTGCAGAGCAGGCCAGCTGAGCCAGGCCAGTGCTGCCACTACCCTTCTGCTGCTCCCTTTGAATTATTCAGCTTGTCATCAGGCTTTCTTAAAGCTCTAGGGCATTCCTTTTTAATAACAAGGGGAACGAGGAGTGAGACAGCTGGCTGACTGGTGATTAAGTGGCAGCAGTGTCTCCCCCGCCCCAACCTATCCCTGTTTTCACACTGACTGTGGAAGAATAGAATAGTGGGATCAGTTCAGAGTTTTCCTGAAGATGGCTGTCTGGGCGAGGCCTTCCCATTGGCACCTGCTTTTCAGAGGCTTCTGGACTCAGGTGTGAGAATCCAGCCTTCCTTCCCGTAGAGCACCAGAGCACCTCAGACACCTCAGTGGTGGGTTGACACCACTCGTGAGGCAAAGAGCAGCTTTTCAGTGGTAAAATCAATTGAATCTAAAATTTATTTTAAGCTCTGAGCATTTAGCATCAATCCAGATGTTCTCGAATTCCATAAGCCTTGGAATTCAAAGCCCAGGAAAGGACCATGTAGTGGCATCTGCTGAACCTTTCACAGCACAGACAGTAACTTAGCACCATGCGGGGCAGCTCTATGCTCCAGGGTTAAAGTGTGCAGCCCTGCCATTCACGGTATTGAGGGGGAGCCAGTGGCTGGGATCAGCTCCATTCCTAGCCCAGGGAGAGACCAGGAAAGCTCCAGGATTTGGGAGAGGCACCTTGTCCCAACACACTTCACCTTGTTGGCCCCCACTGCCCATCTCTGAAATGTGGGCTTCAAGAAGGACAGTGTGTCTGTGTGTGTCTCTTGTGGGAACAGGTGAGTTGATATTGAAGAAGTTATCTGAGATGCCGACGGGAAAGCACGAGGAGCCACACTTCCCAAAACGTTATTCTCATCACAATCCCTCCAAACCGCATGCTATACTTCGTGAAATACACATAACCTGGTTTATTCTTCTAATAATGACACGGAGCATTGTTGTTGTTCCTATAATTACAAAGAACATTTGGTAAATTGCATAATTACTATTTATATTAGTCTACTTGTAAAGGCCAAAATGTAATCTTATGGTACTAAATAAGGATTCATGATTAGCAAAAACCTAATAACAGCCCTCCCTTCACTTGGATCCCTAGTGGTCCTAAAAGTGGGAACCGTGAGCAGAGACTCACAGAGCTCCCTTGGTGCTGCCTTCACAGTCACTTTGGTTGTCTAGCGCACAGTCCTTATGAGGTAAGTAGAAAGAAGAGCCATTGGCAGCAGCCCACTTCCCGGATGGAGAGGCTGAGCTCGGAGTTCTGAGCCTCTCCAGGGAGGCAGTGGAGCTGCGCCTCTGCCCTCTCCACAGGCAACTCTAACAACAAATGCCACCCAGGGTGGGGTAGTGCCCAGCCCAGTGGTACAGGCAGCCCAAGTGAACAGAGGACTTTGTTGTTACTGTACCAGAGCGTCCCTGAAGTGGATCCAGCCGCGACCATGCCCAGGTCCCAGTCACAGCAGAGGACGAGTGCCAGCTCCTATTCCTCGCCTCCTCCTGCTCCGTACTCTGCTCCACAGGCCCCAGCGCTCAGTGTGACTGGCCCCATCACAGCCAATTCAGAACAGGTACTTGCATACATCTGGGCCGTAGCAGACCAGCTGACTGTCCTCATTCATCTTTCCAGGAGATACAGATAGAGACCACCCTAGGGCAGGCTCTGCACTAGGTGTTAGGGACATAGTGATGGAAGGGCTCAATCTCTGGGGGAGACAGATGCCAAGGTAGTCACAATTTAGTATGCTCATACCACGGCAGGGAGCAGAGCCGAGCGCTCAGTGTTGTGAGCCCTGAGCTAAGCAAGGCCTGGAAGGCACTCAAGGGGGCTGACTTGCTGAGGGTTTTGAAACAGGAGTGGGGCTTTTCAGGCAAGGCCTCATGCACGGCAGTGGCATGGGCATGGGGGAGGCACAAGGCTCGCTCAGGGAGTAGCAGGTGGCTTGAATGGAGAACAGGTGCATATGGAAGGCCTGGGCCAGGGAGGAAATAGTGGCAGAAAATGAAGCCAAAAACATAGGGGCACAGCTGAGTTGCAAAAGGCCTTGTCTGTCATGCAGACCTAGATCTGTGCTGTAAGAAATGTCAGCTGTGGCTCAGCGCCTGTGGCTCAAGCGGCTAAGGCGCCAGCCACATATACCTAAGGTGGCGGGTTCGAATCCCCAGCCCAGGCCCGCCAAACAACAATGATGGCTGCAACCAAAAAATGGCCAGGCGTTGTGT